TGGCAAACATAAATATCTTTAATTGAGAAGCTCCATCAAACGAGGGTCATGTTGACGAGCAAAGCGAACACATGTCAGACATATCACATCGCTGGAGTGACACCCGGATGAAACGACCACAGCAGTCAACCGAGCCAAGAAAACCCATCCAAGAATTCTGCCACAGGATTTTATTTCAAAGTGGCACCTTCCTCGATCTCACAAACAATGCTTCACTTCAGGCCGTCATCTTTACACATAATAATGTATTTCTGTTGTCATGTAGTGTCAAAAAACAAAACAAAAAAATAAAACAAACACTTTCCAAGCAGACGCTCTGCGGCGTGTGTTTGAATCAAAGGCTGCAATGGCAGAGTTCGAACCCATCTGTTTGTGTCCATATGCGTAACAGGAATGAAAACTGTGGTAACTTCTATCACGAAATTGACGGACGACAGAAATCCCAAAGTCCTCCTTCAAATGCTAGAGTAAAAGTGCGTTGTTTATCTGCATAGAGTTTACGTGTTCGAAACATTAGAGAGTTCAATAAATAGATTCAGACTTGTAAAGTGCTTGTCTCTGGTTAATGCATTGCTGTGAGGCATTAACGTACAGCATAATAAAATACCTCTGTAAATACATCATCAAATATAGACTGAGCTACTGTTCATATAATAGATGTGATCATTTGAGTTTGGCAAAAAAAAAAATGCACAGAGGGAGACGGGGGAGGTACAAAAGTGACCAATCTTATTGGTAGATTTATGTTTTGCAAACAGTTGAAGTCAGAATTATTCGCAATCCTTGTAAATTTTTTCTCATATTTCCCAAATGATGTTTAACAGAGCATAGAATCTTTCACGGTATTTCCTATAATATTTTTTCTTCTGCTGGAAGTCTTATTAGATTTATTTCGGTTAGTTTCAATTTTTTAAAAAACATTTTAATGTCAATATTATTAGCTCTATTATTTTTTTTCGATTGTCAACAGAACAAACCATCGCTATACAATGACCTGCCTAATTAACCTAGTTAAGCCTTTAAATGGCACTTTAAGCTAAATACTTGTATGTTAATAAATATCTAGAAAAATATTCGATGGTGGTGCTGACAAAAGTTAAAAGGAGCGGGAGTTAGGGTGGGTCATTGCGGACGAAAGTGAAAAGCAAGGGGGAGAGGGAGTGCTGGGTGGGATGTCGCAGATGAAATTGAATAGTCTTGGGGGGGGCTTGTTGCGGATGAAAGTGAAGAGCGGGGGTCGTGGTGGTGATTCTCACATACTAAAGTAAAGACTGAGGAGGCAGTGGTCGGGAGGTTGCCGCGGACCAAAGTAAATAGTCTTGTATGGGGATGAGGGGTATTGTTACGGACAAAAGTGAAGAGCGGGGGTGTGTGAGTTCCCTCAGATGAAAGTGAAGGACGAGAGTGGTGGGGGGTGGGGGGGTAGTCGTGGATTACAGTGAATAGTATTGGGGGGTCATTGCAGAAGAAAGTGAAGTGTGCGGGGGTGTAGGGTGGGTGGGTTCTTGTGGACGAAAGTGAATGGCGGGGGGCTGGTAGATTGTTGCGGCCAAAAGTGAGGAACGGGGATGTGGAGGGGCTGGTTCTCGCAGATGAAAGTAAATAAGGGGCCCTTATCCATCATGGCCTCCCAATCATCCCCATCCCACCGAATTGGCTCTATCACTATCTCTCAACTCCCCCTATAGCTGGTGTGTGGTGAGCCGTGAGCGCACTGGCGCCGTTGTCCTGTGGCTGCCATCACATCATCCAAGTGGATGCTGCACGCTGGTGGTGGGGTGGAGAGACCTCCCTCATGATTGTGAAGCGCTTTGGGTGTATGGCCACATTTGAAAATTACACTATATAAATACACATTACATTACATTTCCCCCACATAGCAGCACCCCTGACAGTCATCACGGCAAAAATAAAATAAATAAATTATTAGAAATGAGTTATTAAAACTTTTATGTTCAGAAATGTGTTGACAAAATCTTCTCTCCGTTAAACAGAAAGTAGGGAAAAATATACAGGGGCGCTGATAATTCTGACTTCAACTGTGTGTTAATGAGATCTCCTTAATGTTAAATGTAAAAACAAAAGAAAAGGAAAAGAAATAAAAAGAAACGATAGGCCTATTCCTCCAGGATGAAACGATAGAGACAGCTGCTGAGATGAAAGCGTGTGGAATCCAGATGGCACATGGCGGCTCGCTCTACAATGGTCTTCCCTCCAGCGATACCACCACATTTCCTCCCAGCTTCTCTGCCAGAGTCGAGCGGTCCTGAATGTCGTCTAAACCGTTCACCTGCCATTCGTGTTTAATACCTGGAGAATGAAGCATGGCTGCATTAGATTTCACAATACATATTTGTTTAGCCCATGATTGAGTCTATTTATTTACTCAAATAAATCTGTGTTAATATGTACAGCTGAAATCAAGATGATTCGCCCTCCTGTGAATTGTTTTTCTTTTTCAAATTTTCCCAAATGATGTTTTTTGAGGGCAAGGAATTTTTCACAGTATTTTCTACAATGTTTTTTTTTCTGGAGCAAGTCTGTTTAGCTATATTTTTTATTGTTAGCTATATTTTTTCGATAGTCTACAGAACAAACCATCATTACACAATGAATTGCCTAATTACCCTAACTTACCTAATTAATACAATTAAGCCTTTAAATGTCACTTTAAGCTGAATACTAGTATCTTGAAAAATGTCTAGTAAAATATTATGTGCTGTCATCATGACAAATTAGTTTTTAAAACTATTATATTTAGTAATGTCTTCTTTCTTTAATTCTGCAGGGCTAATAATTCTGAATTCAACTGTACATATTTATTCAGTTTTTTATGAATTTTAATAATAGTATTGAATAATGTGCAAATGTTTATATTATTTATATAGAATACACTTTGTCTTTTAGTAGATAAAGTCACCTTAGAATTATGTTCTTAGGTTCTATCTGAAATTTTTGTCAAAATTGAGTTATTGACATTCTTATTAAATGACAACTTATTTACATTAAGGGATGTTTTTTTATAAGTTGTTAACATTTTAGGACTTTTTATTTAAAAACAAATGTTGCACACATACTGTTTGTTATGGAATGCAAAAACTTTGAAGCTCAATATTTCCAAATCATTCAGAACGCAGATAGAACCTTATAATTCCAAGGTAAAGACATGAGAGACTTACTTTTATTATATTTTATAATAAAACTTTTTATTATTATTATTATTTATTATCACACTATTATTATTATGTTTTTCTCTTCTTTTTCATTCTTTTATAACCTGTTTTAACACATTTTATCTGTTTTGATCATTTTTTTCATAATTTTCATCATTTTTACTATTTGTTTTTATTTTTATTTCTGTATATGGAAAGCACTTTGAATTGCCACTGTGTATAAAATGTGCTATATAAATAAACTTGCTTTGTTTGGACACCCCTGCCTTAAAGGATAAAGTTTTTGGTGTGTGTGTGTGTGTGTGTGTGTGTGCGCGTTATGTTTTAGTTACTCAACTCTTAACGATGTAACACATATACACAGATTTTTATTTATTATTATTATTTTATTTATTTATTTTATTTTTTTTACAAAACTCAAAATTGCAAAAAAAAAAAAAGTCAGCAGATTCTGTTTGTCCTTGGTTATTCCCACTGCAGTACTGTTATGTCTGTTTTAAATTCTGCACAGTTGGTTTTTTTTTCTGCATACAGTGCTCAGCATATACAAGTACACCCCTCACAAATCTATCTTTAAATTCATATTTCTAATAGGAAGCTATACAAGATTATATTTGTGCATATACATTAGATTAGTCAGTACTGAAGCTAAATCTGGAGCCTAACAAAATAACTTATGATAACAAAAACTAGAACATCAAAAAATTTATGTTATAGAAAAATATTGAATAAAAAAAAAAAAGAGGATTAATCTGGGATCCCCACAGCGGAATGAACAGCCAACTTATCCAGAATATGTTATACGCAATGGATGCCCTTCTAGCTGCAACCCATCACTGGGAAACATCATTACACACTCATACAGACATACACTACAGTCAATTTAGCTTACCCAATTCACCTATACCACATGTCTTTGGTCTCGGAGGAAACCCACGCAAACACGGGGAGAACATGCAAACTCCACACAGAAATGCCATCTGACCCAGCCAGGGCTTTTTTTGTGTCGATTTGCAGTAAAAGATACCATAGACAACGGTCTATTTAGTACATGTTCATTACTTTAGACCAAGGGTGTCCAAGCTCGGTCCTGGAGGGCCGGAGTCCTGCTGAGTTTAGCTCCAACTTGCTTCAACACACCTGCCAGGAAGTTTCTAGTATATCTAATAAGCTTGATTAGCTGGTTCAGGTGTGTTTGATTAGGGTTGGAGCTAAACTCTCCAGCACCGAGTTTGGACACCCCTGATTTAGACCTCAAGAACCATGGGCTCTGTAGCTTATAACATAACACTTAATATTCAACGTTTCAAATATAGCCGAACAGCAATAAAACTCAAGATAAAAGGTAAACAAGTCAAAATATGCATTTGTGGCGATAAAATCATGGAGTTTAAATCAAATTTTAATCATGCAATTTCTTAAAAAATATTTGGTTGTGGTTTAATATTCTTTCTGACAAACACAATTGTTCAAACCATGTTGTTTATGGAATTTTAGCCAATGTGTGGGGCCGAGAGCTGTGGGAACAGGATAAGACTGGTGCTTGAGTGACAACGTTAAGCACCTGTGTTTAGCCACGAGTCACATGGAGGAGGTCTGGATTATAAAAGGAGGAGATGCAGCAGTGGAAGACGAGAAACGTCCAGGCCTGAACGTTCCTCTTTTTTTATGTTTTCAAATTCAGGTGGAATACTTTCATAATGACTAAGGGTTGGGTTTACAATGTTTTTTGTGAAGTTTTACTGACACCGTTGTGGGTATTAAAAATACATACACAGTAGCACAGTCAGCTAACGCTGAGTGGGAATTATGCAGTGTTCCAGAAATAAGAACTTCAGCAGTGAAATGTCCTACCTCCAACCCAAACGCATTATTCTAGCAGCATTCTGGATCTAGATGTTAATTCCATGTAGAAAGAAAAAAAGAAAAATCCTAATCACTAATCTCAATTAAGATCTGTTTTCTTTAAAAATCAATGATCCTCACTCCTTGATTGATATACAATATAAAGTGGGTCTCAAACTGTACAAGAAGCACTGCATTTATATCCAATGTTCCACGCCATGTCTTTGAAATCTGAAAATGTATTTTACCACAGTATATTCAATCAAGTTTCTGTGTTCGCCTGCTGATCTCGTTTTACGCTTGAACAACTAAATGAATGCTTAAGTCTATTTAACTGATTATATTTGAATCACATTACAACATCGATGCTGTAAAAGGAACCTTATGAAATTGAAAATAGTCACATAAACCTGTCACCGAAAGTTCATCAGTGGGTTTACCAGTGTTTTTTTTTTTTGGATGAATTAACCCTATAACAATACAGGATAATAAAATAATAACAAAATACTATAAAAGGTTTGTGAAGTTGCGGTATTTGATAGCGATTGTGACAGTACTCACCTGTAAACTTCTTCTTAATGGCATCTTTTGAGCTAGCATAAATCATCTTGCTTTTTAATGGTGCACCTTCAGGGGCCCTATAATCAAATACAGACGATATTAGTATGTTCACTTCCAAATGAAACAAAAAACTCAGACAAAGTCACAGGTTATTATCATTATAAATAGAAGCCTTTATTTTCATGAAAATTATTCTAAAAACAATAAGGAGTTACTGTTATTATTAAATTCAGTTGAAGTCAGAATTATTAGCCCCCCTTTGAATTTTTTTTTTTTTAATATTTCACAAATTATGTTTAACAGGGCAAATACATTGTAACAGTATGTCTGAAAATATTGTTTCTTCAGGAGAAAGTCTTTTGTTTTATTTTGGCTAGAATAAAAGCAGTTTTTGATAAAAAAAAAAAAACAACATTTTAAGGTAAAAATTATTAGCCCCTTTAAGCTATATTTGTTTTTGATAATCTACAGAACAAACAATCGTTGTAGAATAACTTGCCTAATTACCCTAACCTGCCTAGTTAACCCAATTAAGCTAGTTAAGCCTTTAAATGTCACTTTAAGCTGCATAGAAGTGTCTTGAAAAATATCTATAAAAATATTATTTACTGTCATCATGGCAAAGATAAAATTAATCAGTTTTTCGGAAAAAAAATCTTCTCTCCGTTAAGCAGAAATTGGAGAAAAATAAGTACACTTTACGAATTTACACTTTACAACTGTATAAAATAATTTTTAATCAGTGCTTGATGCAAAATGAGGAAAAATCATCCCAGGTTTCTGAATAAAAAAATGATTTTTTATATTAAATGCATATGTTGCTATCATAAGCAAACAACAAAAAGTTATGCTTAAAATTAGAATAAAAAAAAGTGTACTTTTCTAAATAAATGTTTGATAAATACACAAAGTTAATATCAAAATAATGCAAAGTCAATATAAATGCAAAAACAAAGACTTAAGTTAAAAGCATGAATGCATAAATTAATGCATATATAAATAAATAAATGCATTAATATATACAGTTGAAGTCAGAATTATAAGCCACCTTACTTATTAGCCCCCTGTATTTTTTTTTCTCTCGCAATTTTGGTTAACGGAAGGAATATTTTTTTTAACACATTTTTAAACATAAGAATTTTAATAACTCATTATTAACAACTGATTTATTTTATCTAGATATTTTTCAAGATACTAGTATTCAGCTTAAAGTGACATTTAAAGCTTTAACTAGGTTAATTAGGAAGGTTAGAGTAATCAGGCAAATCATTGTTTATTAATGGTTTGTTCTGTAGACTATCATATTTTATTTTATTTTTTTTGCTTAAGGGGGCTAATAATATTGACTTTAAAATGGTTATTAATAATTAAAAATGGCTTTTATTCTAGTCAAAATAAAACAAATAAGGCTTTCTCCAGAAGAAAAAAATATTATAGGAAATACTCTGAAAATTTTCTTACTCTGTTAAACATCAATTCGGATAAACACCAATCTCACAGGAGGGCAATTAATTTTGACTTTAACTGTACATGCTGTACATGTTTTTACAACTACAGTAACCGACACACACTACATACCAAAATATAAATACCAAGTCTTCTTTCTTGGACTCTTTGGTTTCATAAGTGGCATCATATAAGCCGTATCTGCAGTCGTTGAGCGGAAGGAGCTTCACGAAGCAGGCGTAAGGATCGTCAACACTGTCTCCAATATCTCCCACTAAAATCTGCCTGCCCTCCTCCACGATGATCTTCTTCTTGTCGTCGCTCAGGCAAAACAGCACTGCTTTTTTGCGCTTTTTCACCTCGTCTGAGGACGAGGATTTCCGGACCTTCATATCATTGAAGACTTTAATGACTTCATCACTGACTGTGACACCAGAGGCCTGCGATTGAGAAAAACACAGACGACTGCAGGTTTACAAGCAATATAGTGATTATCTTTAGGTTTAAAGTCTCTCCACATCCTGATAGCAATCATTAAACTAAGTGGTCCAAATGTATTTATGTACTGTACTATTCTGTGGAAGGTGTGGGATTAAGAAAAATTCAGACCAATGTTTTGACTGGATGAACATTGCTATAGGCCAGGGGTGCCCAAACTTGGTCCTGGAGGTTTTGGAGTCCTGCTGATTTTACTTACCTCAACACACCTGCACGGATGTTTCTAGAAAGCCTAGTAAGAGCTTGATTGGCTAGGCTTTGCAGGACACCTGCCTTCCAGGACCGTTTGGGCACCCCTGCTATAGGCTGTCCAAACTGCTTGTTCAGAAAGATCAACAACAACATGACTTTTTTTAAAATCTGTTATAGTAATTATTAACTGTACTATCCGCTTGTTAAGTGTGACATCACGGGGAAGTGGCTTCTGAGTCCAAGCTCTCTGTCAAACTGTATGGGGAGACTCATCAAATGGTAAAAATGATTTTTTAGGGGTTTTCACCTTTATTGATAGGACAGTGGAGATATAGAGACAGGAAAGTGTGGGGAGCAGAGATAGGGGAAGGATCAGTAAAGGACCTCGAGACAGGAATCGAACTCGGGTGGCTGTGAGCACCTTAGTGCTATGTGTCGACGCACTAACCACTTGGCTATAGACTGATTTCACGCGGCCGCCATATTCAAAAGCGAAATCGAGGCTGCGGTGGGAAGAAACCCGGAAGTATCATTGGGAGTTACATAGGAATGTTGTGTAACTGGCTATATATCTTATCAGCGAAGATAAAGTGACACAAATTTATCATTTCTCCGCTTTCCGGGTGACCCGAAGGTCCGTTCTGAATGAATGGTGAATGTAAAAAGGGATATCAGAGCTCATTTTTAGCTAAGTTAAGGGAAATGGCACTAGTTAGCTAACGTTTTCTTTCCCAAACACACGTTTTAGATGATATTCATCAAACTCGAGTTAATAAACTGATTCTTTCACTATAGTAGACTTGTCACGATACTGAATAAAAAAAAAAGACAGGCAATTTCGCGCTAACATTTAAGGCAATGTTGATGGCTTTCTTGAAACAGCGCTGATTTGCCATTGTGTTCACGTGTTTAACAGAAATGATTGTGATTGGCCGAGAAGGTCATTAGTTCACCCACCGCTGTATACTGAGCACAAACACAGACGAGCCGAGCGATCTGCTTGATGACTTGACTGATGTTGACGGCTGCTTCGCGCTCCAGTCCGTGTATCTGTGCTTGCACTGGGTGAAGAGCGGTAAACTGAGCGCAAACCAAACACAGATACACGGAGACTGAAGCGCGAAGCCGTGAAGATCAGTCGACTCAACTGCGCTTAGCGGCGCTTCCATGTTAGCAGGAAATAGCCGGGTTTAAAACTTCTGTACCGGGACAACACTATTACTGACAACACGAGGGTGTGCTGCAGAGGACTGCAGTGTTTTATCACTCACCGGGTTACATAGGCTGAAGCAGGAAAGCGTCCTCACGGTGTTTAACTAGTGCCATGAGCTGAAGCCTAGGAGGACACTTAAGCGTATCACTGAGATTGTGATCTTGTTTGATGCTAAATTGCTTTTAAGTGTTTAAAATAAACTTACTGAATAATATTAAAGTGATGGTCACACAATTTCTGCATTTTGAAATCTCTGCAACAGCTGGAGGTTTATAGTACACGGCATGTTACTGCAATGTTTACAGTGCTGGACCTATACTTTCGGGTTTCTTCCCACCGCAGCCTCGCTTTGATTCTTTAAAATGGCGGCCGCGTGAAATAAGCGTATTGGCGCCGACACAATGCCACACTTTGAAAATCACGATTGCGATATATGGGTAATTCTTCAACAACGGGCACTTTTATGTCCTTTGATCATATATCCAAATATATATATATAATTTTGATCAAATTCCTCTTTCTTTGTCAAACTAACAATAAAACTTACTTTAAAAATTTGACTACCTTTCTATTATATATTATTATATATTTTTTCATATTATTCAACCTCCTTTTAGGTGTCAAGGAGGTGTTTTCACCCTGTTGCACACCCAGAGTTTTAAACTTCAACAATGAAAGTAACATTTTAAAATATGATTTATCTGGTAACTATTAGTGTATCTTAATTGAGCACTAGTGAAATCATTAAAACATTTTATAGTTATTAATGTGAGACTATTGTCAATATCACTTTTTATACAAAATATAGCTGTTGCACAGTTTCAGTGTCATTTCCACCACAACACTGTAATGTTGCTTTAAAAAGTCTGTGTGAGAGATTGTTTAGGTGGTTTCTATAAAAATGAATAGTGCCATCTGAGAACATGTTCAAGATGGAGGGAATTAAATTTTTATCAACAACACTTGAAGAAAAATCAAGGTAAATATTGCTTGATAAGGAAATACATTTATTCTACGTCATTTCCAAACATGTTGTAACTTCAAAGATGTTTTTAAAAACCAAACAAAATGAAGGTAAATAAGAGTGCTTTGTTTACATGAAAGGCTAGTATCAATTCAAAGCTAATCGGTGAAGATATTTTTCATTTTTTCACAATAAACTGTTGAAATGTCATTTCCACCACCACGCACATTTAAAAAAAATATTTAAAAAGTTCTCATCACACATTAAAAGTGTATTCACAATGTATAAGTTCATGCTCTATATATAATATACAAATTCAGTTTATTTATTTTCTAATAAGCTCTTAACCAAATATATATATATATATATATATATATATATATATATATATATTCATTCATGTCAAGCAGTATGTGCAGGGCCGGTGAGCGCTCCGTGTATCTTTTGGTCACTCAGTTATGTTATAAAAATCTATTTTCTTGTGATGACGGGAAATTTCGTTGAGACATGTTTTCCTCACGCTTGCATATATATTTTTTGCTTGTTAGTTTACTTACTGTTGATTTCAAATGCAATAAATAGGCTATGTTTGTATAAAACGGTGTAACGTTGCTTATAATTGGAGGGTGTGACTAGATTTTGGCTGATACACCTACATTTTTAAAGTTAGGAGCACCGTGCGACCAAGCAAAAAGGTTCATTTTGATCCTTGTCTTTGGTTCTCTGGTTTTACCTTTGACTGTGCGAGTTTCACCTCATATTTATGGCACTGTACACAGATACTTGAGTCATGTAAGTGTATTCAAAGTGTAAATATCCAATGGAATATACATAAAAATATTTGACATATGAATTCATATGGGTGTGGCACACATATATTTAGAAAATGATTGGCTTTTTGGTCCAACTCTGCTGTATATTTGTTGTTCTAAGTGAGTATTTTTTGTTCACATTTTACACACAATATCAAAAGGTTAAAGGTCCTGTGAAGTGCTTTAAAATGTGCATTTTTATTTGATGTTTGATTTAATCTCAACTGAAACCTGAAGAGAGGGTGGGGCATATTCTAGGTAGCTCCTCCCCCTTTTAAAAAGTTTTATTTTTATTTTTATCACTGCTCTGCCAGTGATGATGCTTGAGTTCAAGCGCATCAAATAAATAGCAAATGAGAAGTGTCTTGAAGGGGGCGGGACATGTCAGATACAAGAGGACATTTGATTGGTCAGAAGATTTGATGAGAAACTGAAGTATGAGGTGACAAAAATAATTGATTCCTTAATGCCAGTCACACTACTGTTTGAGCATGTGAAATTCTGTTGCACGGTGCTGTGAAGAGGGGCGAGATTAAACAAAACGATTACACATTTTAAAAAGTGAGCGACTGGTTGGTCTATATTTTAAATTTCTGTACAGAGAGGTCATGTTTTGATCTTCAATTGGTCTCACAGAATCATGTGATGCGATGTCGCAGGTCAGAGTTCACCACGCTTGAACTTTTCAACGCTGTAAAACTTGTCGTACGAGATTGTTTTTTCAGTCCATCATGTGTGTATGACGCACATGTGCATATGAATGGAAGTCTACGGGGTGAAAAGCGCAGTGTGACTGCGGCTTTAAGGCTCCTACACACCGGGACGCTTTTTGTTTGCGTTTATTGAGACGTTTATTCCAGACTCCGTTGAGCAAAAGAGTGTGCAAAATCACTCCTTGACATTAGATGTTGCTAACAACTTTAAGCTTCGGACACCCACATGTAACACAGAAGAAGACATGTTTGTTAAAGTTACTGGCGAATCGAAGCATGGATGGTTCAAGCAGCAGCTCCAATTAAGCAACTAAAAAAAAGATTACTGTTCACCAGAGCAACAAGCAGCTCCACGTTCATATCGCCTCTGGCCATCTTCTTCAATGTGCGCTCGCATGGACAGTTTTGCGCTTGAGCGCCTCCAAGTGTTGTTTACTGTAACTACAGCAGCTCCATGCACGTGAATAAAAGTGCCAATCTGATTGGAGGAGAAGGTTTTAACGCGGCGCGTCAAAAAAAAAAAAAATGCATGAGGCTTTCTTTAAAAATGACACATTGGCGCCATTTATTTAGTCACGAGATGTTACACGTCGACGGAAAACGCAAGCAAAAAGCGTCCCGGTGTGCACAGGCCTTTAGGCGGAAATGACAAACTACAAGCTTTGGATGTTTATTTCAGGTTTATATCTTCTAAATGTCAATTTTGTCACTGGTTTAGAGCACACTAGCAAATAGATATTCTTAAAACTAACATACTGATAATACCACATTGAAAACCTTTTAATTTAATGGGACATTTAAGCTATGTTATAACATATATAAAAAAATATTTAAAATGTACAGCCCTAATAACAAACATATGAATATTATCAGTAATGCGCTTTCAGCTTTAAAATCCTGACTCATGAACGTGGTGCAGTGCATTGCCAGCTGGTCTGTCACTGCGCTTCAAATCTCACACTCACATCTGAAAATGGACAGCAGGCCAAGTCATAGTGTGAATCCTGGACCACTAACTACTGTATATGAGTATTACACGCATATGGTT